AGACTTTTTTTCGTGTAGAGTTGTATATAGGAATAAATTTTTAAAGGTATAACAAATATTTTTATCTTTTAGGTGATTAGAAAGAATTAGTTCGACATATCTGGGTATCCGTATTTCGAAGGGAAAACCATGTCATATTTGCTTTTTGATAACCCTTTGCATCAATGTTGGTTGTGTGTGTTTGTTTAGTTTGTCCTTGTGCGAAACAGAAGTGACGTTATATTTGCATTGGGATTGATGTCAACTTACCTTACATATTTACTAAGGGATAGTCCGTATTGCAGTGTATCTGACTTTCTTGGAATAGTTTATCCTTTTGTCAGAGCAAAACCAAAATACATGTAATAAATAATTTATAGATTGAACAAAATTAATGAATTAAAATTTGGAAGTCTGCAAAGAATGTGAACTATTAAATTTTTAAAAAATATCGTTTCCATGTGATATTTAAATTAATACATTTTCTGTAAATACTGATTCATGATCTTATTAAAAAACATACATTTACTTTCTGTTATTTGGCAGGTCAATTCAAGTTCATTCCTACGAATCGCTTGTTTCATTTCTCGAAAAAGGAGTCGACGTGAGATATTTTTTTAACATTTCAAAATGTGTTCAGCACTCTTCACCTCCACCGTTTAAAGATGTTCCAGTTTTTGGTGGGAAAATCAAATACTTCAGTGCAAGTCAAAATTCAGGTGGTGATCCTGGAACAACAGTGTTCAATAACGTGGAGTACATCGATGAAAATGATAAAGGTAATTACACCATAGATCTTTCTTGGTATTTTATTTCCAATGACACTTGATCCAATAAAGGATATGGAGATAACGAACAATATTCAATATCAAAGTCCATAAAACAATACAAAATCGGAACAGAGCAAACACGGACCTCCCAAACATCAGAGGCTGGATCAGGTGCCATGGAGGAGCGAGTATCCCCTGCCGACCGGTAACACCGCCGTGTGCTTCTTTTCATGATCGGAAAATAAATGGAAAATCCGTTGTAAATTCAGGGTATAAATAATGGACTAACAATTAGTATGAAAAACGTCAGTCAGCATTTTACTCAATGATAAATTGTATTTGCTGACAAAGCCAATGTATCGACCATAGAACTTAGGAAATAATTACTGACTACTGATATTCTTGTTTCATCAACTTGTTTGTCAATGATTTACATCGTTTTAGAAATTGTTCATACGTAGAGCATGCTTTTGCGTATCGAATCAACTGAAATATATAAACTACGTATGCAGGTGACGAAGGTATATTGCTGCATATGTAAGGGAAGTTGATGATAGAAAAGTTAAAGTCATCACATTTATCATAGAGCTTGGTTGTTAAATTACCATTAACGTCTTTTTCAAGTTAAATATCTAAGTATGAAACAGATGCGTCAGACTCTGTGGTATCTTTTATCTCAAATTCAACAGGATATATCGTATTGACAAAGGAATGGAAATTACCATGTTGTGAATTGACAATACGTCGTCGATATGTATCTAAATGTCGAGTTGAACCTCTGATATTTTGAGGTCTGTGAATCTCTGCTCCAAAGTATTGTCTAAAAGGCATTTGAGCTTGAATACTCTTCATTACATCCATTTATTTCATTTTTCTTAATTAAGCATTTCTGAGACTGTTTACAGGGCTTTAATTTAAAAAAAAGAGTTATTGTAAGTAAAATGCAGGAAAATGTAAAATGGAATTATTTTTTTAATCAGATTTCTAGCCATTAATTAAACCACAATAAAAATATGAATCATATTTCCTGCACAAGTAAAATACCAGGGTCTTTTTTTTTTATTTTTTGTACATGAATATACCCCTTAAAAGATCAAGTAAGACATTTATCTTATTTTTCATAAAAACCAGATTGGGGGATTTGTGTTCCTTCTAGTATTCAAGATTTACTGAAAAATGTATTTTTTAGATCCTAATGAAGAAATTCATACATTTTGGATTGTCAATGATACAGCAAAGATATTTTGGGCGAAGCCTGGCTTTTTTGTAAATAACACTGATACCATTGGAGGAATATATTGTGACTGGACTAAAGGACAAGGAAAGTTAGACGATTGATCTTAAACTTAATCGTTTCTTGCACACTTAAGTGGACATACATGTTTCTAAATTATTTTTTTTGAAGATGTTCCCACAATTGGTCTCAAGAAGCGTGATGGCAATTTAAAATTGTTTTTATTTTACAGGATATGGGTCAAATTGCATTCACAACGAAAGCTGAAGTCATTTCCGGAGATTCAGACCTCACTGACATCTGGAGACGAAGTGGGTTGGGTTGTTAACCAGACTCAGTGTCACTGCCCGGGGGGCTGCCAGGACGGCATCATGGGAGACACCATCAGAGGTAGTCTATTTGTCAACATTTTCAATGCACCGTCTATTTGAACATAAGCGAAAATTTAGTAAATGAAAAAAAGTCATGATAACAATTATTGGTCGATCTAAAAAAAAAAAAACTACCGATATGTACTGATCTATAAACCATGCATAAAACACGGACCTCCGGAAATTTCAGAAATAGGATCAGGTGCCTTGGAAGGGTTTTTACCCCATGTGTAACGGGCACACAGAAAATGAGCCCTATGTATTATTCACTTAGACATAAATTCAAATATTGTTTAGTACATGACGTTCAAGTTGGTGCAAGACCAAAATCAAGATATGGGTCATCATAATGTATCGTAGATTTCAATTTGTTCAATAAAATATAGATATAATTAAATCAAGATAAGCAAACAAGGACTTCTAAAATCAGAGATGGGATCATTTGGCATGGAGGGGCAAGCATCCCCTGTAAACAGGTCGCAATTGACGTGTGCACCTCGTCATGATCGGGAAATACCGAGAAGTAAATTCCATCGTAATTTCATTGTGTAAATAATGGCCTAACCATCATTATGAAAATGTCAGTCAGTATTTGACTTAATGATAAATTTTATATGCTGCCAAAGTCATTGTATCGACCATATTACTTACGAAATTATGAAAGTTCTTTGGCAAATCAGTGTGTAAATAATAGCCTTACAATTCTGGTAAAAACATCAGTCAGCATTTGACTTCATGATAGATTGTATTTCAGTACCGAGTTAAAAACTAGAAAATGATTACCCATTCTTCAGTGACTTGTCTCGTTCAGAATTTATTCGAACATAGAGCAAACTACCGCGAACCAAAGAGGATTCCTTGTCAGCTGCACATTAAGTAGTAGTTAAAACTGAAAAGCCGTTACTTTTTAGTGACCTTTTAGGTGTATTTCAATTATCTTTCAGTTACCTTTCAGCCCCAGTTGATACATACAAGTTGTACCCATCCAGTGTAGACGTTTTATTTATCTTTCAGTTAACTTTCTATATTCTTGCCATCATCTCCAAGGCACCTTTTAGCGACCTTTCGTTTATTCTTCAGTCGTCATTCGAGAACTTTATTTTGCTTTTCATTGGTATATAAATCACCTTTTCGTACTGAATTTAAAATATTATTGAAATCTTTAATTAAATATTCAGAATGTTGTAAGAGTTTTCAGATTGGCATTCATGTGTTGTACTTATAATGGCTTGATGTTCAATTATGTTTTAATTGTTTACTAAACTTTTAAACTTGTTTGAATATATAATATAAAGTATATGTCTAAATATAACAATTCTACTGTTAATTCTTGAAAAAAAGTAATTAAAGATTTCTATTTGTTTCATAAAAACAAAACAAAATAAACGAAAACTATATCAATCCAATATTCTTATCAGCAAATTAGTAATTTTAAAAGAACTTTTTTCTTTTTGTAAAATAGCTAAATCTATAAGTGTTTTATTTATCCTTAGTTTCTTTTAAAACCTCGATTAGTTTAGTCAATTCATAGAAAAATGAGGATATTGGTGTTCCTGCTTTTAAGGTATTTCCATCATCACAATCTTATGGGTTCAAAGTAGAAAAACTGCATTTATTTTCACTGAATATAGTTTAAACTAATTATTGCTAAAAATGAATATGCCATCCCCCTTAAGATGTAAAACTTAAATAAACAGGAGCATATGCTAACATAAGATGGTCGTTTAATATTAGTAAATAGTAGCGAAAACATGAGGTTAAAACTGGTTCAAATATATAATTCTGATGCTGAAAGTTCTAAAATAATTGTTTCTGTGCAAATACGGTATGTTTAAAATGTTAATAAGAGGGTAAAAAATTTACATTAGAAGTACGATAAAGAAAACTACTGACTGAAGATACATGAGAAGGAGTTTTTGCCCTAAAATCCCTCTGAAATGTATCTACCATTTAGTCGACAGAATGGTAACTGCACTGTATGAAAATATCACGATAAAGGCGATGTCCTTTTGGTGATATTTCAGCAAGTATTATGTTATTATGGTATTATGGTATTATTCCATCGACTGAATGGTGTATTTCATCCTAGCTGTGCTTGTAGTTTAAGACGTATTTCATTCATAATATACAAAGAAGTATACAATATGAATATAATATGAATATGGATTGAACAGCAGGCCAAGGACCTATATTATTTCTCTTCATTTGAGATCAAAGTTCAAATGTAAATACTGTAGATATTTGAAGTTTTACAAAGACATGTATTATAAACAATTGTGCTTGTAGAACTTAGCTCATAAAATCTATGTGAAGTCTAATGCTGACTGTTTTCCATACAGTTCAAGATCAGCCTCTTTTTTACATTTAAGTAGTGTAGATTCAAATCTGATCAAAACTTGACCGCTAGGGGGGTAGGCCACAAAGGGGTTGTCAAAATGTTTTAGATAAGAATATAAAGGAAAAAAAATATTTACAAGAACAGAAAACCCATGTAGTGAAACGTCTTACGTTCATGGTTGTCTAACTATAAAGCTAAAGGATAAACGTGATGACTCTAACTTTTCAATCGTCAACTTCTCTTATTCATGCAGCCTTATACCTTCATCACCTGCATGCGGAGTTTATATCTCTCAGTTGAATCGATACCAAAGAACATGCTTTACGTAGCAGAAAACAGGCTGATCGGTCATGTGGCAATTTTTTTTTTAAACCCAATAAAAGCACTAAGACCAATATCCCTGACGTTCTAGATAGTATATAGGGAGAAACAATTTTAGAAAATACTTAGATTTTCCTCACTGAAAATGTCACAAAATGGCGTTGAGGAACATTTTACGATAAATTTTTGTGTTGAACTCGGGAAAAATTCTGATTAATATCTCAATACGTTAAATGAAATACTGGTTTGTCAAAAGACGTGTATGAACGTGTACGTGATACATAGGGTATTTTAATGATAGAGACACTTTATCGAACGACGATGATTTGTTAAAAAAAACTGGATTTCACTAAAATTCTGATTTAGAATTTAGAATACCATTATACGAGTTTAAAAGCTTGTCAATATTAAAAAAAAGAAATTCAAAACATTGACAAACAAAAGTATGAAATGGAAAAATGATTACCAAAATAAATTTTGAATGTTTATTGGACCATATTCTGTGAATTGGAAGAGTATTTATTAAGAAACTCAGGACGCTACTTATTTTATGTTAAATAAAGAGTGATCCGTGCTTACAAAACACGTTGTTTTAAAAATTGAATCACATGAATTTTATTTAATCACATCGAATGAAACACATTTTCAAAAGAAATATGTTTACATATGAAAATGTACGCACAACCTTCGAAAATGTTATGTTCAGGCAATTAATGCATACATGTAGGAGCGCGGAGAATTTCCTGATTGACCTGTGAGTTGTCAAACTTCTACTAATACTTGTTATTGGTTGATTTTATCTAATTGTGACCAGCAATGTTCAGTTTGATTTTAGTGCAATAAAAATAATAACAGTGGATTAAAAAAACATTAAAACAGCCAACCAAAGCTGATAAAAAGTAATGTACCAAATGGCAACTTGAGGACAGAAAAATATGTTGACATGGTGTTTTTTTTTTCAACATTCCGTTCTTGGTATTTTTGGAACTTTAAGATCTTATATATGAAAGAAACAATGTCTATAATAAAAACTGCAACCCTTAAAGCTGATTGGACACAGATGTGAATGCTATAGCAACATTTAAGTCATACTATTATACCTTTTGAGAAACCATGAACATCAAATTTGTCTCAGGCATATCTTATTTGTGATTTTCTAAAAACAAAATTGAATTCAAATTTGCAGGTTTCAAAGTTATGAAAGACGGGAGTATCAATTTCTCTACCTCAATGACAACAATATTTCCGCTGGCCTGGAACTATATCCGACTCATCACATTTGTTCACATTCATGCAAATAACACTGCAACATTTGTAACAAGACATTTAGATGCACCGACATGGGAACAGGATGGACTTGATGTAATGCACTGTCCGATACACTCGGAACTGAACGCAGAAGGAGCTAGATTCTATGTAAAAAGAATGTAAAATTGTGATCGTTCTCAGATATAGCAGTTCAAGAAAGTTTTATAACTGTTAATTCTCAATTAAATGATGAAACGTATGAAGTAAATTTAGGTTCCGTGGTAAAAATGTGTTCTCTATAGTTGTCACTTTCCATTTGCTATTTTTAAAAATTTAATTCTCCATAACAGTATTCGGATCAATGTCGAACTGCCAACGTAAACTAATAATTAGTAATGAAATAAATGTAAATTATAATGAACAGCATTCAAGCTCAGAAGTCATTAAAACAATACAAATCAGGAGCAGAGCAAACGCGGACTCCAAAACATCGGAGGTGGGATCAGGTGCCATGGAGGAGTGAGCATCCTCTGCCGACCGGTCACACGCGCTATGTGCTCTTTGTCATGACCGGGAAATAACGGGAAAATCCGTCGTCAATTCAGTGTGTAAATAATAGACTAACAATTAGTATGAAAAAAGTTAGTCAGCATTTTACTCAATGATAAAATGTATTTGCTGATTAGGTCATTGTATCGCCCATAGAACTTATGAAATGATGACTTTTATCGAGACTGTCAATATTCTTGTTTCATCAACTTGTTTGTAAATAATATACGTTCTTTTAGAAATTGTCCATACGTAGAGCAGGATCAACTGAGATATATGAACCCCGCATGCAGGTATTAAAGGTATAATGCTGGATTAGTAAGGAAAGTTAAACAATATTTATGAATTTATTATAGCTGTGTCACAATGTTTCCAGTCTGTAATCATTTTGTTAAATGTAAAAAAAAGTTTAGAGCTATTGATTACAGCAATTAAATTGCCTACGTCTTTTGGTATGTTAAATGCATTGGTTGAACCTAAAGTAGCAATAACAGAAAATGGAAATTAAGACTCATAGACCCGCTGATATGAAAGATAAAGAAGATTGGCGCATTTGGCGTGTGATCTGCAGGAATCATTTGTACGAAACATTAATGGTTTAAATGTCCATGATTTGGTTGGCTGAACATAGCTGGTCATATTTTACAAACACGTCCAGAGGTTTTTTTTCATTTAGTTTGAAAGTGTGAGATTGTATCATTTTTGTCCGTTTTTCCTGGAGGGTACTATAACATAGTAATGTTTCACAAAAAATAAACACCTAACATACTTAATGCATATAGATACATGATACGTGTACATGTATATTATAGAATAGAAGATTGGAATTGATTTCGCTCGAGAACCAAACTGAATAAAAATTTATCTAATTCAAAATTTTGATACATCAGTACATAAAACGAAACTGACAAAATAAATGGTTGTTTGCATGAAAAAAAAACTAAGTAATTAACGCCCCATGCCAGGCTCGAACCAAAAACTTTTCAATAACAGTGCACTGAACATATAGCCCAACTCACTGAGCTATCACCGCTTCACATTCATAGATGATTTTAAAAGGACAAAGAAGCACCACATTCACACGTTTGGATTTTATGGGAAAAGTTCATTTTTCATGGTCTCTGGGTCTTCTCTCCATTTTTTAAAAAAGTGTATTCGTTCCTTTGAGTTAAAATACACACAAATAACGTTTCAAAATTATGGAGAGAAGACCCAGAGATAGAAAAATTTTAGAAAAACGTGTTTAAAAATGTACCATTTTGTACCAATGTTTGATCTGGCCAATTTTAAAGTTATTTTTTTAGAAAATCAAAGCTCAATTTCGGGAAAATATTTTCCTTTCCTGTTGCACAGGAACTCGATAATAAAAGAAATGTTAAAATTTCATGTGACATGTCGGTAAAATTTTCACTTTTCAATTACGCCCAGATTCCTGCCGAATGCCAATCAAAAGGGCCCTCGTTCTTTTTCTTTTATATACTACTTTTATTCATTTTTATACAAAACTGTCAAGTTACGCCCATATCTGTCGAACATTTCGTTGAAAGGTATGCTAATTTTTTTTAATCTTCGATTTCTCTTTGAATGTATAAAAAGAGAACGAACAGTGATTGATTGATTGTATGTTGTTTAACGTCCCTCTCGAGAATTTTTCACTCACATGCAGACGCCACAACTTGCCAGTGGAGAGCTACAATTTTGTCCTCGGCAATCAGGGCCATTGATCAGTGAGGAATCATTTCGGGGCAGCACCTACGGCGACACGGGACCTCGGTTTAAACGGTCTCATCCGAAGGACCGGTCTCCATGTCCCACAGTGGTATTTTTTCGAACACGCGACATAAGGATCGACTCCTTACTTTGCGACTCTAGAGCAGACGCTCTAACAACTGTGCCACGCGGGCGAATAGTGATTGAAAAAAAAACTATAAACAATTCCAAGACGTGAGGAAGGCATGAAACACGGACTCCTCGAGGTTCAAGTGGGATGGAATCGGTTGCCTTGGAGGAGTAAGCATCCTCTGTAGACCGGTCACAGCCACCAAGAGCACTATGAGTGGATCAAGAGTCAATTCAAGGTTTTATAAATGTTCAGGTGGCAGGGGATAGTTTCGTACTAAAGACCCGGTCTTTCTTTAAAAAAAAACTGAGATATTCCCTGTTCGATGTGATATTTTATGTAGGAAAAAGACTAGAATAATTATGGGACACGGTTGCAGTGAAGCAGAGTGCTTGCTGGAAAAAAAGTTATATGCAACATGTAGTCATTACTATGACACTTAGCATATACAGAGTTGTGAATGCGAAACTAAGAACCGTGGTCAGTTGCAGAGGAAATTCAGCAGGAAAAGTCGGAGGCCTAATCAGAAGAAGGTGTGTATCTCAGAGGGAAGTTGAATGGCTCCATATCTTTAGGGCATAGATTGATTTACAGAATACTGCGTGTTTTATCCTGCTTGCTCGGGCTTGGGGGTGGGCTGTATGGGTGCGACTTAGGCCAAAATCTTGAAAGAAAAGCCAAAATCTGGGTAGTCATGGGTGCACTCTAATTGGCAGATTACATGTACTTTGTTGAAATAATTTGTGAGTCATGGGCATACGTAGTGTAATTAATTATCCACTGGAAAAATGTTTCTATGTACATGTTTTTTATGGATCGCATGTATATGTGTACCCATCAGCATATGTTTAGCATAAAAAAACTATCCCCGATCACCTCACAAGAATGGTATTTTGTGCTTTTCATCTTTTACAGAATAGTATCACTTGTATTATTATTCATGTACCCGTTCAAGTTTATTCTAGTTATTTAAGTATTTAAAATAAAATAAAGAATGACTGGAACCATGAAAAAGTATTGTAAATGAGAAATAATTAAGTGAGACGTACCTTCACAAAAAGATGAGAACATGTACAATGCTATGTATTGTCAAATGGATTGATATTTGAGGTCATTGTGATAAAAGGGTGTTCATGTGATCAAATTTTCTGAGACCAAAAAGAAGCAGATTACTTTTTTCACCATAAGACTGCTCGTTTATCTATTTTGTTTAATACGCTTGGTATTTTTCCAGGTTTACCTGCAAATACCTACCCCCAAAGTGCTGGAAATTTCAAATTTCAATTAAAAGCTGCATTCAGTTACTTCTTATAAACAGGATTAGGGGGATGAGATTTTCCGGATTTCTTCATAAAAGTACACTCACTTGACCTGCATAGGTTTTTGATAATTGTCACTTCGATATAGATATATATTATATTCTATTTTTATAATTATGTACCGTTCAATTTCGACAATATTTAAGTGAAAATTGTTACGTTTTATTAATGTAATTGGTCTAAAAATCACACAGATGTGCACGTAGACTTGCTGGCAATTTCATACAAAATATATCTATATGCAAGTCCTCTTGTTTTTACACATCAAAGACATTAACAAACAAAAATAAATTCTATAACATTTTTAAAAAGCTTTAAAAACAACAAACTACAGTTACAATTTGATACCCTATATATTTTTCCCATTTTGAGAAGACATTATGATGTTATAATGTGCGTGTTCCCTTTCTAAGGAAGAAATTCTTCAAAATCATATGTCGGTTTTGAATATTTTTATAATCCCGAACAACCAAAATAAATATGAATTAAAATATTTATATTGGATTCAGAAACTTCATAAAAATTCTTACAAACAAAGATACATAGCGGTTTCCAGTAAATGTTCAACCAAGCATCTTTCTTTACTTGTCATAAAAGATATTAACAGTAGTGAAGGAGAAATTTCTAGAGTATTGTGAAAAAATATATTCGAGAAGTGAAGTAAATCAGATGTGGATGCCTAAAAACTCAAAGATACTTTTGGAAAACTTTTAATCACAAGATTTTACCAAAATCAACAGCTTAAAAACTTACGACACACACCATTCCAACGATCAATGAAAGTCCATGGTTTGTTTCTTTTTTTATTATTAAATTGACAACTGGTTTTTTAATGGAACTCGTAAATTTACTTACATTGTCATTGGTGATTTGCAAAATTATTTTATTAACACAGACATTCTGATTGTACACCCAGGTACTCTGAAGTTGACATAAAAGTATGTTTGAGTTTCTGATTGACAATATATATGTTGTTTTTGGAGACCAGGACTTCCAACAATCTATTGGAAATCAAATAGGTATCAAATGCGCCCCGTTCCTAGCAGACCTATTTTTGTATTCATATGAAGCAGAAGTTGTGCAAAACCTTATTCGTGAAAATAAGATAACACCTGCTGTGGCTTTCAACTCGACATTTAAATATATCGACGGCATATTGTCAATTAACAATGTTTATTTCCATTCTTAGGTCGATACAATATATCCCGGTAAGCTCGAGATAAAAGAAACCACAGTGTGACACATTTGTTTCATATTTGGATATTTTACTTAAAAAAGATCGTAAATGGTACTCTCAAAATAAAGCTATATGACAAACGTGTTAACTTTAACTTTTCAATCGTTAACTTTCCTTACTTATGCAGCAATATACCTTCATCACCTGCATAAGGAGTTTTATATCTCTTACTTGATTCAATACGCAAGATTATGCTCTATGTATGAACAATTTCTAAAACGAGACAAAGAATTAACAAACAAGTTGATGAAACAAGAAGATCAGCAGCCTTTTCAAAAGTTTTCTGTTCGTAAGTTCTATGGTCGATACATTATGGTCTTGTCACGAAATACTAGTATACAATTTGTTATTGAGTCAAATGCTGAATGACGTACTCATACTTATTATTAGTCCATTATTTACACACTGACTTGACGACGGATTTTCTCTTTATATCCCGATCGATCGGGAAAATGAGCACATAGCGTGTGTGACTGGTCGGCAGGGGATACTCACTCCTCCATGCCACCTAATCTCCTTTCCGATGTTTTGAAGGTCCGTGTTTGCTCTGCTCCAATTTTTATATTGTTTCATTGACTTTTGAGCTTGCATTGTATTCCATACACAAAAAAGGAATTAAATTAATTTCAAAGTAAGCCTAGCGGAAAGACCGAAGTAAATGTTGAATTAATTATGTAATAATTATTTTCAATCTGACAGAAAAAGGTTATGTAAAAATTACTTTGTTATGGGTTTCTAAGAATAACAGAGTTCGTTCTTTATAATGCTTTTTACAGAACAATGTTATTATTGTATATATCTTCTGTCAATATTAAACCTACATGATCAATTCAAGTTAAAATTTCTATTCATGGAATTTTAAAGGATTGAAGTTAGGAAAAGACACTAATAGACTTAGTTTACATCTGTTGTATCTTCTTGCAATTTAATACTTGAAAGCTCACTATGGTGAGGCGATGTGTCATCCTTTTTTTTCACACCTACATGTAATATGTTTTTGATTCAATGTTTTATATGTTGATTTTCACGCATATGTTGGGTATTTACATGGTCTAAATCCTTGCATTTCTATACATTTTAATTGTATAATTTTTTGATTTTCCGTTTATTTTGTCATACAAATGCCAATGAACTACAAAACCTATTGTGAATATATTTTTGTCCGAGGTATCTGATTCTGGTATAACTAGTACTTTAAGTAAATGTTTTTCATTTTTTAACTCTGTAATGAAAACGTTTAAGAAGTCTTAACTGTTTATCTATATTTACATATGTATCACTGACCTACATCAGGAACCTTTCGAACCATGTCTCCGTTGATCCATATCTTTTGTATCAAATTATTACACTAAGCGTAAACATACAAACAGAAAGATATTTTACTAATTTGGAGGTGAATGGTTCATAATACAATGTGTTCCACCATTCTCTATTTTTAAGTATTATTAAGGAAAAGAAAGTGTTGTTTATACTTTAAAAAGAAATAAATTTCTTTATATTCAGAATTCTTGACCTTTTCTATTAGATAGCACACCAGCTTTATCGACATGTACTAAGAGGAATACATTCTACAAACCAAAGCTATGGTTAGCGTAAACCTTTTGTCCTTAATGTCACTGATTTATATTGTGGAATGTCAAAAGTAAGTCTGAATCTTTTTTGTGATAAGCTTACTTCTCCATGGCACCTGATCCCAGCTCTGATGTTTTTATAGTTCTGTGTTTGTCAGGTCTTTTTAACAACCATATAATATATGAAATGCTGATTTTAAACAAGTTTGTTTAAATTATAATATCAGGTAGTCTGTCAGTAGCTTCGGTTAAAAAATACATCTAAAATAGATTATGCTCTTATGTATCGAATTACTTTGGAGACAAAACCGGTATATGCAGATGATAACGTTTTACCGACCCTAGCCTCATTTTCGATTTCTATGCGCGATCGACTTTTGAATTGATACTTAAACAAGAAGATAGCAGTGTAAAAGTTTATGTCATCCCATTTTGTTTAAGGAATGAAGCTTATTTTACCGAAGGATGTTATACGATATAACATAGGGACAGTTTACGCTTTATTAGCGGTTTATAAAAAAAACATAAACTGGCCGAAGTTATATTATATCTTATATCATAGGTTAAAATATGCTTCATTCCTAGTAATTTTATTTCGGTGTGGACAATAAGACAGGGTTTCCTCCAAAAATGGCTTCAAATTAAGCATATTTTAAAAGTAACGTCAAACGGAGTAGGCCTAGTATATTTTTGACGTTACTCTCTGTAACGTAGGAAACCTTTGTTATTTAATATAAACTAACTCTTTTTTATCCAATCAAATCACGTTATACAACCAAAATTAGATCATCTCATACTGTAATGAACATTAGACTGCATTAACTTTTAATCATTGCAAACAGTTACATGTACAAAAAATCCCTTTTAACTTCAAAAGTGGGTATCAAAAAGCACATTTCTCATTGATATGAATTTTTTTTTAAATATTTGTTTTAAATTTCATTTCCATCATTTAATATGAAGCTATCGAAATAAATCCACCTTAAAATTCATTTTAACAATTCAAATTTGGAGGATAGCAAATATTGACCTCATGTGCGGATACATCAGATGCCATGGAGGAGTAGGCATCCCCTATCGACCGGTCACACCCACCGTGTGCTTCTTGTCATGCCTGATCGGATTAACGATTAATGAATAAAACAATTTACGTGATAGCACTTTGACTAAAAGGATTGTTACTCAAAAGGAGAGGGCTTATGGTATCATAAGATTTGGACACATTAGAAATATTAATGTTTCGTTCTGCGTTCAGTATGTTTAAATACCATCCCTACTATACATTTGGTCTATACACTCAGTCTATTAACGATACTTTTTTGTTTAGACCTATTAAGTTGGATTCTTATCATTCCCTTATTTCACACATGGAGGAAGGGGCAGATATCAGTTTCTTCTTTAACACTGCTAGTTGTGCACCATCCTCAGTTTCAAATACAGCATCATTGATATCCAGTTCGGAATATTTCCCTGTATTTGGAGGTGAACTCAAGTTATTTATTTCCATAAATACATCAAACGAAAAAACAGGACAGACGTTTTTCAGTCAAGTCCGGTTCATTGATCAAAAACCAAACGGTTAGTGTTATTTGTGTTCTTTTTCCCTGAACTTTCATTTATGATATGTCAGGTAAAGCAGAGAATGAAAGACTTTTGAAAAAGAATAATACCTAGAAAAAAACATATCAGTAACTGAATTTATTGTACTGATCTTTTGATCTGAATAGCAAACTGCTTAGAAAGCAAGTAAAGGAAATACTCAAAAATATTGTTTAAAATCCTCTTGATAATTAAAGGAAAGTGGAAATTTAATTCCTTTTTTTTTTTTGTGAGATTTGTTAAAAGTACTTATTTTTAATTTTTTTTAACAGTGTTGAATGAGGAAATAGAAACAATATGGATTGCCAATGATACGGCTTTTATATTTTGGGGGAAACCTGGCTTCTTTGTGAACAATACGGCTGATATTGACCTAGTAGCTTGTAGCTGGACAAAAGGAGAAGGGAAGTATGAAAACTTAACCTGTAAGAGAAAAACTACTTATTTTAATTTAATTTGTCGACATTTTAAATCAGCCATATAAATCTACCTTGTTAATAGAAGGCATGTTTATGTTTGAGTCACTGTACGCCCATATTAGATATGTATACTCACCGTCAATAGAAACGCACCACCCTAATTTTAGGGGTGAAAATTATATACGGGATATAACTATGTACCAAAAAAGTTAGGACATCTTTTACTTTGCCAAATCAGTTATTTAACGATTGAATGATTTTCATTCCATTACCGGAAGTTGATTTTTAGCCCCCTGAACAGAAATCAAAAATTAGCATTTTTAATAAAATTATTGACAATATTTTGGGTTTTCAAGCTTTTGTACCTGTTAATTTTCTTGTACAAAAGTCCGCCTTCTTTCTCTTCCGGATGTGATGCCTGTATTTCCTCAAAGTAACTGAAAGCACACATTTTCATTGCTTATATTGGAAATTTTCAAAATAAAGAAAAGGGAGAGTTCCAGATGCAAATATACACTACATAACGACTAATCGGGCTCATGTGTTTTAAAAGCATGAATGACAGTTCCTTGACCGGAAGTCCAAGGGTTACGACACTACGCCAAGTTAGAGAAAATTCGACCTCAGTATCTGAAAAACAGGCATTTAAAAAAGGACAAGAATATTTATTTCGCATAGATTAAGACATTAATAAACGTAATGCATGGTAGAATTCGGGCTGCTTATGTTGTACCTGGCGGACTAGCACGTTTTAATTGAATGGTCGGAAGGGGGGATGTTCTAGAGTTATGTGTTACTTTATAAGGTTTAAAGATAAGATTAAGAATAAATACATAAATGTAAAAAGTAAATTTACAAAACAATGATACTTCATTTAAACGTTAAATGTTATCTTTAGACCTTAGAAAGTAACACATAACTTTTAAAACATCCCCCCTAGCGACCATTCAATTAAAACGTGCTAGTCCGCCAGGTACAACATAAGCAGCCCGAATTTGTTTATTAATGTCTTAATCTATGCGAAATAAATATTCTTGTCCTTTTTTAAATGCCTGTTTTTCATTGGATTTTCTCTAACTTGGCGTAGTGTCGTAACCCTACTTCCGGTCAAAGAACTGTCATTCATGCTTTTAAAACACATATGTTTCATGTAGTGTATATTTGCAGAAACTTCCCTTTTATTTTGAAAATTTCCAATATAAGCAATGAAAATGTGTGCTTTCAGTACTTTAGGAAATACAGGCATCACATGTGGCTTTTATACAAGACTTATAATTAACAGGTACAAAAGCTTGAAAACCCAAAATATTGTCAATAATTTTATTAAAAATGCTAATTTTTGATTTCTGTTCAGAAAATCAACTTCCGGTAATGGATCAATAAAATAACTGATTTGGCAAAGTAAAAGATGTCCTAACTTTTTTGGTACATAGTTATATCCCGTATATAATTTTCACCCCTAAAATTAGGGTGATGCGTTTCTATTGACGGTGAGTATATTTCTATTAATCCCTGAACACATTCCAAAAACTGTAAACCAATTATCGGGTGTCAGGATGAAAAAAAGAAATTATTGCAAACACATCTGAAAAAGACTTCGATTATTGTAATTTTTTCAAAGCATATGGATGAAGCAGAACAGAGAACAAAAACATCTTACATCATTCAATGATATTAAGGCTGTTTTGACTTCCGGTGAAAAGGTGCGCTGGATCGTAAATGGAGGATGTAAATGTCCACCTGATGTTGACGTGTGTGGGGACGGTTCCATTGGTGATACCATTAGAGGTAGCTGACAATAAACACATTGCAATAACGTTCAAAACCAAAGGAGGTCCGTGTTTCTCTGCTCCTATTTTGTATTGTTTATTGGATTTTTGCGCTTGAATACTGTTGGTTATCTCCATATGTTTTGTTTAAGAAACTTTTATAGCTATGATGACTAACGGTTTTTATTTAATTTGTGGCGTATGAATCAAAGATTTTTAAAACTATACTAGAGAAAATCAGAATATCGATAAAATTTTGGTAAAATCAGTACAAAACAACTACTAAGAGGCTTAACTAAAGTCAATATGTTTCATATTGTTAACATAAGGTTTTGTTGTTGGGTTTTCATTAGGTCTTTCACAAGCAAAAAACCAAAATATGGGATAGATGTTCCAAAATCTGTGGTATTTTATTTCTTCTCAATTAAAAGTTTTGAAATAACCTTGTGTCATATGAATAAAAGATATTCACATGTTTATGTGTGTGTGTGTGGGGGGGGGGGGGCTGTGGGGTGGAGGAGGTTATTTACTCAGAGAAATTCCAATACTCTTATCTCTTCTCTGCTTATCATCCCTGACGAAGATTATAGCAATCCATTGGGTAAATAGTTTACTTTCTAAAATGGCACAATTTTCTTGTATACTTGAAATTCAAGTATGCAAAAAACAGAAGGAAACCCCAAAAGATTGAATATTAAGAATTTTTATTTAACTCTAAATGCTAAAGGTAATTCAAACAATACTAAAATTCAAATTGTAACAGAAAACTTCAATGTAAGTGTGACCATGCCCCCTTAAAGTTTCAATATTTGTAAAAATTAAATTCACAGGTCATGTTTTTAAAGCAAGCACATTTTTAATTTTATATCTGTCATCTTATATGTATGTTCCTTTAGCATGGTGTTTATTTCTCGTTTTTAGATTTCAAAATCATGACGGATGGTTCTTTAAGTTTTTCTACATCCATGACAATCCATGCTTTTCTTTCTTGGCGGTATACTCGCATTATTGTTTTTGGACATGTTTACGATAATAACACGGCCAATCTAACCATTTCCTACCTGGATCCCACCACCTGGGATGATACAGAAGATCACGTCATTTCATGCCCAATAGCGTCAGAGAACTCAACAGAAGGAGCAAATTTTTTTTATTGTTAGTTCATAAGTGCATGTATATATAATTATAATAAGTGCATGTATATATACTTATATTAGTGATTGTTTGTTTATTTGTTTTTTGTTTGACGATTTACGGCCGAGAAGGACTTGTGTGAAAGAGAAAGATTCTCGCAGACACATTTTAATTTCAATTGCTGTTATGCATAATTATTAAAAACAACCTTAGCAAACACACACAGAGGAAAGGAAAGTTAATTATATACACATGTTTCTTGATTCAAACGTTTTCTGTCTCATTATATAGTACATAGTGCAGTGAAAAACAGATATTTAGTTTATATTAGGTAAGAATTGAATTAATAGCCATCAAGCTCAGAACCCATAAAATAGAACAACCTGGAAGCAGATCTAACGCAGACGTCTAAAAAATTAGAGCTGGAACAAGGTGCAGTGGAAGAAAAAGCGTTCTCTGCTGACGTCACACCCGCCGTATGGTCCATCTCGTGACTTGGAAAAACGAAATCAAAAGTATTTTGAGAATTCAGTGTGTAAGCAATGACCCAACGATTAGTGTGTAAAAGGTCTAACATCAGTCAGTATTTGCTAGTCATTTAAAATGAAGATATTTAACAAAAATAAATGGTCCAATAGGAAATGACTATTTCACATGTGAAATTTTTTTGAATATTATTCCTAAATAGATATTGAATATAATAATACTTTTTTCCTTTTCCAACATGTATGAAAGGGCGAGTGTCTGATTAAGTTTGGTATAATTTCATCAGATCGGCTGCTAACATATTAAGCATGTCAAAAAAGTACTTTCACAATTCAAAGCATTCATGCAAGGAAAGCACGGGTTACTGTGAAAACGTCTTGCGTATTTGTGTATTTGTTATCAAAGTAGTTTAATTTTTTTTATCAATGACATATACAATTCTCCAAATTGATCACACGTAAAGACGTAAATCCCATATGCAAGTGATGTGGATGTGTTACTGCCTACGTAAGGGAAGATCAAGAGACATGTTACCATTAACGTCTTTTTGCAGTAAAATATCAGTTAAGTGACAATATATGTTTAATATGTCTATACGTCAAATCAGCATATGAAGGAAGGCAATTATTGTAAACTGATAATACGTCATAGGAATATTTATCTATATGTCGATTTGACTTTTTCTCTTATATAGGAATTTGAATTTGTTAAGCTTCGTTTGAACATTAAATTTTTTTTTCAAGATTTTTTTTTTCAAATGATTTATGACAAGGTGTAAATTAAATATGCAGGTCCAATGTAATCGAAAAAAGCATCTGTCTATGATGTATACCGGCCATTTATGAAACATTGTATGAGGTGTCGAAAGTCTGATTAATTTTGGTAAAATTGGGATGTGGAGACCTGTCCTTCGGATGAGACCGTTTAAATCGCGTGTCGCAGAAGGTGCTGACACGAAAAAGATCCCTCCCTGCTCAATGGCCCTAATGCCTAGGTCACATTTAAGCCGATGGTCGGGCGACAAAATTTTTCTGGTCTTGTCGGCTGAAAGATCAGGATCGGCCGACCCAGTATCGGGCGACACGGAGCAGTCACATTATTTCCTAGGGACACCGATTACTTGGATAAATAACACAAAAAATCTTTTTTCTTTAGAAATCAGGAATATTTTTTTCATAGATCTATATTCAGATAGGTGACGTGAGTAATGTTTGCAAGGCAAAGTGGCAGAATCTTATAAAATTGTGACTAAATGTTGAAAATGTGTGCAAAATTTTGTATGGAATTGCATAAAAACAACAAATGGTGCATATCTAAGCAGCAAAGAATACTTAGGATTTCTTCATATCTTACAGATTAATTATTTATGTTATTTCCGTTCAAAAAATATATATAAATCCATGCATCAAAATTTTGTTTGTGTTATGTATCCTTAATAGGTTAAATATTCACAAGTCGGCCAATCGTCGCCCGATCATCGAGCTCTGAGCTGCAGTTTGATTTTAACCGTCGGCCTAAATTTTAAACACCCTTATTGTCCAACGACGGACGACCGACTTAATAAACTGACCGCCGATGGTCGGACGATGATCGAAGGTTGCTTGACGGATAAATTAAATGGAGGAAATCGGCCACCGACGAAGAAAAAATTATAACTTGGACCGATGGACACAAAATTGGTCGGCCGACAAAAAAAGAGGTCAAAATCGGCCAAGACAACGGCCGATGAACTGACGACTGTCACCCGAAGAATCCCATTTTTGCTTCAAAACCCGTCGGCCGTTGGTCGTTTTTGGAAATGTGACTGGGGTTTAAGTGCCGAGTTTAGGACAAAATTTGCAGCTCTCCATCGGCAAATGGTGGCTTCTCTATATGAGTGAAAAATTCTCGAGAGGGACGTTAAACAACATACAATCAATCAACAATAATATTTCATACAATACAGTTAAACAAAATGTTTTAGGGGGGGGGTTACCAAAAGCAAATTTCGTATAGTAAGCAATGATTAAAAGTTTCAACTAATATTCCCTAGGTCACATTTAAGCCGATGGTCGGGCGACCAAATTTTTCTCGTGTTGTCGTCTAAAAACATTATCGCCCGACAGTGGTATCAGGCGACGCGGAGCAATCACATTAATTCTTTAGAATACCGATTTTAAATTATCGAAAATTAAATAATTCTAAGTCGACCAACAGATGCTCGTTCATCGCTGGCTAAAGTAGTATCAGTTACATAATCCAGCGATGGGGTATACGAAAAAGTTTGATTTAAACCTTTTTCATCTATAAATAAGAGATCTTGAATTGTGGCTTTTTCGTTGAAAGTTGATCTAGTTGTATGTAAAAGTTTTTAGATCATCCATCAAAAGTAAGAAATATAATGCTGAAGTGTTAATTACTAACATGAAAGATTTACTGATTTCATTATAATTCATTGAGATCAACGTTCTTGGGAAAATAAACCTTTATTGAGACGTAATTTTATGGTTTTCCCGTGCGTACAACAAATCTATGACCTTAAAAGTTGACGAATGAATTGTTCGTAAACGTGGATGTACATTCATGGGGAACGGTCACGCACGAAGTCCCCAATTTACATTCCACCCTGGTGTATAATGATATTTCTGAAGAAGATGACTTACCATTGTCGAGTTACACAATATACAGTTATTGAGACAAGCTACAGGTTATTCCGCATCATCAACAGATATAGTGAAAGAAATACTTATATTTATCGTTCAGATTAATTTGCTGCAAATATGCAAGAAAAATGTTATCAGAAACTTTTTTCTGAAACTAAATTCTAGGTTGATTGCAAGCAAATTGTTATTGTAGCTAAATAATACTTTTCAACCTAAACAATTTTTTTCACAATTCAATGAAAGTTCTTAATGTGAGACTCTTCTCATATTTATTTCAAAATCAATGAAATTTTCATAAAATCAAACAGACAATATCACTTTAAGTGACGGAATCAAAATACATTTAACCGTTTCAAATTTGAGGCAAGGTCAGGTCAATGTCATAACCTTTTCCGTGGACATTAAGAATAAAATTGATTGATACATTGGATTTTGTTTTACGTCCCATTCGAGAATGTATCACTCATTTACACCATTTGCCGGGCTTCAAATTTTGACGTTAAATCAATGAGTAGTGAGGGATCTTTATCGTGCCAACTCCTGTCGTAACACGGGATCTCGGTTTTTAATGTCTTATCGGAAAGATCCGCAATTTTAACTTATAGTCCCCAGCGCATGGCGAAGGAACAGTTCTTATACCCATTCCTCCTTAAAGTTAAGAAAACTTTTTTATCTAATATATACTTTAAGCATCCAATGTCAAGCTTATTTTCGACTTACAAATAAGATACTTTTTCTTCCCTTAAAAATTCACCATTATAATTGATCTAATTTTGTTAAATCACGTCCTTCTGGACTATGCCATTATTTGTAGATAATATTAAGATTAATAATGATATTAATAATAATAATATATCAAGATATCTACAGTTCCTCGTGTAACAATTTAATTAAGATATTCCGATAACCTCAAGTATTTCTCTCGTACATTCGTCAATTTTTAAAAAACCCCAGATGACACACTCTCGAGGCTAATGGTCTTCAAAGGAAAAACGAGGCTTATTAAAATGTATTCTTTTAAAAAGCTTGGAAATAAATTATTTGGAATTAAATTATCAAATTTAATGATTAAATAAATAGATTAATTAATAAATGATGAAATTGAATACTTAAATTTAATAATCGGAAATTAAACGTGATAAGTCGTTAACTTCCCTTATTTATTCAATAATATACCCTTATCACCTGCATACGGAGTGAATCTCAGTTGATTCGATTCGCGAGAGCATGTTCTACGTATTAACACTTTCTAAAACGAGTTAGGTTATTGACAAACAAGTTGATGAAACAAGAATATCAGCAGTCATGCCTTAAGTCATAAGCAGGGCAAACACGGACCTCCAAAACATCAAAGATAGGGATCAGGTGCTCCTTGTCATGATTGGGAAATAACGGAAAAATCATTCAACAATTCAATGTGTATATTATTGCCTAGCAATAGGAAGAACGTAAGTCATCATATGGAATAATGATATTTTGAATCTGCTGACAAGATTGCTGTATCGACCACAGAACTTACGAAATGATGAGTCTTGTTTCAGCAAATTTTTTGTCAATAATTTACCTCGCATGTACATTGGGCGTGGTATTGTACTTGAAGCCTGAAATATAGATATTTGAAAATAATAATGCAAATCAAAGTGTCTATAGAGACTCAAATTTAAAATTAGAATTATTTCAGTTGCATTGAATTTTTTTCAATTCTTTCAAAAATTATACACTGATGGATTGATCGTATGCTGCTTCTTGTCCTATTCGGAAAAAATACTAGTACATCGATCACTCCTACAGAGAGGCCCAGAATAGGTAAAAGATAATGTGACTATCGTGCAAACGCCCAAAATTACATGGAACATCTAAATATTTTGTGATGGTCACTTTGATTCAAAATGATTGGCAGATGAAT